CTGCTTTCTGCTAAAATTCTGTGGGAGAAGAATTATATAAGAAGATATTTATTTTTAATTGCAGTTGTCACATTAAGCTGCAGTGTTACTCACCAAGCAAAAAAATATTAGATAATGTGTGTTTAAAAAGTAGAAAATGTCTTCTGAATTTCTCAAGATGTTTTATTTAATTTCTTTCCAGAATTGCCAAGATGTAACTTCTGGCTTTAATATTGATGCAATTTAGAAATTTCTTCTTGTTTTCACATATGTGCTTACATAACATGTTAGCATTTTTTTTTTTCCCCCACTGGATTCCCAGTTGTTCCCTCGCACATCCATCTTTTCTTCTCAGACCTGCCTACTCAACCTTTCTGCTTTTATAAGGAAGTTGCTGCTTCTCTCCAAGGAAGAGCCTGGTGAAAATATATACAACTTCAATGGATGGATAGTAGTTACACAACAGAAAGGCATGTTCCTTTGACAGAAATGGCCAATTCAAGACTTGCCTGAAATTGTCTAAACTTACTTACCTAAAGTTATAATCAGTGTTTTAAAAGAGAAAAGAAACCTCAGAAGTTATTTTTTATTTGTAATTTTAACAGTGCTGTGTACAGCATTTGGAAGTGTGTGTTATATAGGAAACATCAGGATAGACAAATCAAATATGGGGTCTGATGTAAATTAGTGAGAATGAAAACTGAGAAATGAATGAGAAATGAAAACGAGAATGAAAACTTTATAAGGACTAAGATCTTCTCTTTCCAGTTTAGGCTTCTATTTTTTTTTCTAATACCACACTGCTTGTGTGGTGAAGTATGCCCACTTCTGAAGATCTTCTCCTATGGATTGCTTATGATAAATCACTTTTCTTTTTTCATGCTCTGAACTGCAGTGGTCTTCCAGAAGCAAGCAAGAATTTACGATTTGCCAAATGTTTGGCAGAAGGAGGATAAAAGCCCTGCTTCTCATGGAGAAGGCCAGGTGCCAAATACAGTAAAACTGCCTTGGCTGTTTAGGTATTTGCTGAGCTTTCATCACTGTAACAGCCGAATGTCCCTCCTTGAACAGAAATGAAGTATGTAGTGAACACTCTTTTTCTGGTTCTATAAGTAGTGCAGAACTTTCTTCTTTTTCTTTGTACCTACGTAAGGTGCATCTTTTCTATTAGTCTTAAATTTCTTGCTTGTTACTATAGGGAAGGTAGTTTAAGGAAGCTAGTGGTGAGTTTTCTTTTGAAGGCAATAGTTACACTTAGTGCTTCTAGAGAATTCTGTTCTGAATATGAGCTACTGCCAAGACAACTGCCCTCTGCTCCTCTGAGCTTGCTTCTGATGGTTTTGATTGTTCCTGCAGAATATATTTTCTTGTGGTCTTGGTCCCTCTGCTAGAGGTGTGTTTCTAGACCATTTGGAAGAGGACAACAGAAAGCCTCATAGTTGAAAGCCATCTTGAAATTGCTATGGTGCTGGTGGAATTGAGTGGTACGAAGGTGGATCATCATTGGAGTAGAGTACAGCATTTTGTAGTAGTGGCGCAAGGAGGCTGATTGGTATGGCCAAACCATTGCACTTCAGTAGAGAGATGGTCTGTGTACAGCTACGTAAAAGAAAATGTTCTGGAGTAGCTTTTGCTATCTGGAGTGCCCAGTTAGATATTGGGAATGCCAATAGAAAGCCTAAATTGTAGCTTTGAGCTGCTTGATGTGGTTTGCATAGGCTTGCGTAGCAAATACCAGCAGTAAAAAGGCAGCGATGTCAAAAGATCAACTTTGTCATTCCCAGGAGCATCTTCAGCCGTGCTCAGCTCTGGGGTTGCTGCCTGAAGCCTGTTCCTGCTTCCAGCTTGAGCTGCTTGGCACTGAGGATGCCTCAGCCAGACTAGGAGCAAAGCACCTGGTGCTGTATTTGTGCCCTAGCAAGGCTGCCTGCCCCTGCTCCAGTGCTTGGTTTGGATAACGGGTGACTGCAGCTACCTGTACCAGCTGTCTGGAGTTATAGGAGGTCAGCTCTGGGGTTTCTTTACAACAAGGGGGTTCTCCACATCCCTTGCTGCTGAATGTGGCAAAACTTGCAAGCTTTCACTTGCCTCTTCCCAGTTCTAAGGGTTTTGTGCATTAACTGTATGTGTCCAACAGAGAAATGAAGGTACGTGGGTTGTCACATTGACTCTAGCATAGTGAGGAGCAGTGGGAGAAGGCAGAAGGAATCAGCAGTTTCTTAATTCTTCAACAGAGGCTGAAGGATTTGTAAAACTGATCGTGTAATCTGAGGGAGTCGCTTGCTAGTTTGTTAAAAATTGGATAGAATCTGGAGTTTCTGACAGAAGTGTAAGATGAAATAGCAGGTATGCTGCTGAAATTGTATGGTGTACCTTGAAATGACAGTTGTTCCTGGAAATCAAACAGTTTTTCTTGGTCTTTTGCAGTCAAACTGTAGCATAAAAACTGCAGCAGTTTTTGATAATGGCTGAAGTGCAGGCAGAGAAGCTGTATTGGAAATGCATTTTTAAAATAAATAAAAAACACAGTGTGAGCCCTGAATAATTTATGGGCAAACTAGACTGCAACTACTCATAACTAAACACTGATTTGCTGCCTTCTGGTTTTCTTGTATGAATGAGTTGTAGTATTTTTCATGATGCCAGAAAAGGATTGTGTTAAAATGCTAACCTTCACAGTGTGAGTTAGGGAGTGACAGTGGCAGGTAGGATAAGACAGTAATTGGCATTACCTGCAGGCATTAATATTTTTCCTGATACAATAGTTCAACCATAAAATACTTTTCCTAGGCTTTTGAATGTAAATTTTTCCAAATGAAGGCAAAAGAGGGACTGACATTTGAAAGACAAAGCAAAAAAGCTTTGTCTTTATTAGAGATGTAGCAAGAGGGCTTGTGAAGTTTCTATGTGGCTGCTCCTTATGAAGGAGGATCTAGGATAGTGCAGGGAGTTTTATTTTCCTATTCTCTTAGCTAACTTCTAAAACTTACTTTTAAAAAAAAAAAAGTTATGTTGCAATTCATTAGTAATGAGCATCTTTAAAGTTCCTCAGGTGTCTCCCTCAAACCTGCAGAGTATTTGTATTATAAAAATAATGTTCTAAATTTGGCAGCAATACTTTAAGAATCTTTTTTGCTTGCAAAATTGATCTGTATTGCAACTGAAGTATTTGGTTTATTTGATCTCTCAGAGCTCTTTGTTTGAGGTGCTGTTGGTGTTACCCCTGGCTGGCTAATTCATACAGCTCACATCCCAGGGAGTGCAGCTGGGCAGTGTTTCCATCTGTCTGTAGCACGGATGCTGCCAGTCATTCTCCTCTTCCAGCCCTTCCTATGATTCCATCTGGCTGTACTACTTTTGCTGTTTCCTGTGCCTACGGCACGGAAATGGCTCACCAGGTTATGTCGTCTCTTTTGGAGGGAAAATTCCCATTCTGTTGAAATTTGAGGGGTTATAATCTGCATTCCTTTAGCCCTGCCACAAAGTTGCATTTTATTTCCTTTGAGGATTAGGATCAGGAAGTTGTTTCCCAGTGTCACCGGCTGGCTGCGAGTCCTCCCAGAAGTCAGATAGTTTGGTACAGGATGTTCTTCTGAGTTGGATGTGTGCCTTTCCTACCTTGGAGCTACCGATTACTCATGCCTGTTGGCTTGCAGTGGCCTGGCCATACTGATTAGCGTCTTTATAATTTGCTGTGGGTGTTTTTGCGGAAGCTTAATTTGAACTGCAGCTTCTATACCATTGTAAACTTTTTTTTTGTTACCAAAGTAATACCTGCTCAAGTGTGTTGTGTTAATTATGACTGCTTCTTGTTGTTCCCTGTACTCTCATAGTATTGAATTCATTTATTTGTGGTTGAAGTACCACGCTTGTACGTCAAGGCCCTTGTTTCTAGAGAGGGGATTAATTTCTTCTCACATCCTTCACATTTGCTTTCAGTCCGAAAGGGTTTTCTGGCCACATTTCATAAAATTGTTACCACTTCATGAAGTATGAGATAATAAAAATAGTGTTATGCTCTTAAGGAAGCTTTTAAAATGTGTGTGCTTTGTGTGAAAGGACTTGAGATATTTTTAAATGTACATTTTTTGTACCCTTTAAAAGAACCAGTACATCCAGTTAAAAGCTCTGCTTGACAGATATATTTCCAAGATGTGTATGCAAGAATATAGGTTTTCTTAAAAGAAGCTTGCCTTCCAAGATGTAGTTGATGTATTTTCTTTCTGATATCATTATTTGCCTTGTTATTCTTGTTTCTAAAGTTGGAACTCCTCATTGTTTCTGTCAAAACTTTTTACTTGTCTGCCTCTTTCTGCTTTTTGTGCTGTAACTTCATGCTACATATGCTGTCATTTAGCAACCTCTTTCATGAAGTTTTTCATTCAGTGCACTAACATGTTTTTAGCTGTTTTCTGAGAAGATAGGTTTGAAATAGTGTTACCAACCTTTTCCTATTCTACCCCCCTGCCACCAAAACCCATGTAAGAGATATTAGCAAATAAACCCATGGTAAACTGATTTTTTTTTTTCTGAAACGTTTTTCTTTTTTTCTTTTAGTTCCCGGAATAGATGGCGGTGGGTTAGCTGATGCTAGTCTCACAGATTCCTACTTTAGCACCAGCTTCATTGGCGTTAATGGATTTGGAAGTCCCGCTGAAACAAAGTATCCCATGATGCAGGTAATAGCAGTGAATTGTATAGTGTTTCATTAGTTCTGGCTGGCATTACACCAAGAGGGAAAAACTGTTCAAGAGGCAGGAAAACCGGAGCCTTGTGGTACATGTCATCTTGTAGGATGTACAGAGTATACACTCACTTTAATCTTGCAAATGGAAATGAAACAATATCATTGCTTTAAAATTAGTCCATTTTTATTGGCACTTATCTGAGCTGTTGCGTTGGGCTTTGCCACATAATATTAACTCTCTGTTCCTAGATTCCTTTTTAGGCTCATAGCTTATTTTGATAGCCTTTCACTAAATATATAAAAAATACATTTTGAAACATTTAAAAGATCAAAAAGTCACTGCAGCAAAATGTGAACTGTCAAACCTGTAAATACTAGGCAAAAATTTCAAAGTTTGTAAACTCAGTCTCTGGTGGCATTCAGTGATGTTGAATTCTCATTTAAATCTTCTGAAATGTTTTCTAGTATTTATAGTGTTCTGTAGATGTTGGCATAGGAATTCCTATGAGGTGGAATTTATTGTATAGGTAGTATTATGCAAAATTTACAGCAAAAGGCTGTCATACTTAAAACCCAAACAAGTATCTATTGAATTAACACACAAAGTACTATAGTGACTACCTCAAACTGTTAGCTTTTTAAAAAGAAGATGGTCTCTCCCTGTACTCAGAGGTTTAACAAACCAGTTTCTGGTAAATGAGAGAGCGCACAAGTCAAACAGTTCGCACTGAGTCCTGACAACAACTCTCTTCTTTTATATCAAGGGAACTCTCCTTATGAGCTTACTTTGGTCTCAATTGTGGCTGTATTATGGATTGAAAAATAACTCAGCAAAAGGTGGGAAATAATTAGGTGTGTTCCCTTCTTTCTTTTCTTTTTTTTACTGCATGTTTTCAAGAAGGCTGGATTTTCTTACTCAACAGAATTGCAAAACTATGGAAATGTTTGTTGCTGAGAGTGATGCATGATTTAAAAAGAAAAGTTTAACCTCTGATCCTCAACTGTACTATTGAAGCTGGAAGTTACAAATTTCGGTATCACTGAGATAATTTTATCCTTTTAGCGCAAAGTTGTTATGTTTTGTATCCTTAAACTGTATTCTACAGTGGTGTCTTTCTGAACACAAATTTTTAATTATAATTGTTTCTTCTAGAAAGACAATAAAGCATGCATCTAACATGAATGCTCATAGGATTTTTAAATACTTCACTATTTCCTGTGAGATTACGGTCAAGGCATTTTGTTTCTCTTTGAGAAAAGAAATTGGTGTGCCTCTTAGCCATTGGAGGCTAAGGAAAATGACTTCTGAAGAAGGATTTCATTAGTGTTGAGAAAGTGCTTACAGGCATTAAACTACAGTTTAAAAACCATTCGTATATTGACTTTTTTTTTCCCCTTTGAATCATGTAATTTAAGTTGTGCATAGGTAAAGCTGAGGTTTTGATTGTGTGTCCGTTTCTAAATTAAGTCCATCCTGACAAAGTTTAGTCACTTGGAATGTGATTTTCCATGTCTTTCAGCCCTTTGGAGAGCAAGGTGAGGGAAAAATCTTAGTTACTTTAAATGATACTAAGGCTTTATGGTTTGGAACAGAGACTTTAATCTGATAGATTGGTGGTTATGTCAAGGATATACCTTTTGTGCTCGCGCTCTCTGAAAATTTTCCCAGATTTTGTCACTTGATTAAAGTTTTGCAAAACTGGTTTATATAGACCCACTGGAGACTTCCTAGATGTTAGATAATTTCCTAAAGATGTAGTCGGCATTGGCATGTTCCAGCTTGAGTACATTCTTGCAGTTACAACTTTGGCCTAACCTAGGCCTTGCCTGATCTCCG